AAAATGCTTGTCTCCCAACAGACTTCACTAAAGCACAGCAACTGTTTTAACTTCTGTTCAAAACTTTCTATTTAAAAATATATTAATTATTTATGGGTTTTATATTGACTGGTAACTCAATTTTCCCTTCCATTATAGTCTAGGGGGCAGCTATGTAAGCATAGGATATTGCCAGAAAAATTGAAATAATAGACGAAGTAAACAAAAAGAATTTGTTAAATAATGAATTTGATTATCTTAAGACAAAATAAACCTTTCACTTACTAAGTAGAATCCCATGAAAGAGTTCTAATTGTTTTGTTGTTTCCAAGAAGAAAAGCTGCAATTTTGATAATCCACTACTGCAACATGTGTAATTATGCAGAAAGAAACACCCAGCCAGGATTTTGCATCAGAATCTGAAAATGTTCGAATCTTCCTCAATATGATAACTTGCCATGTTGATAGCATGGCCTTGATGTTTAAAAGGTTTTACCTGATAAGTGGAACTATCAGAGTTCTTTAGCCATGTAAATGTATTGTAGATTTCACTCTTAAATGTCATGGTGCCTCATTTGTAAGAACTGTAAGTGATTATCCTGAGTGACGTAACCCAGAAGCAGAAAGACACAAAGAATATACACTCACTTATAAGTGGATATCAGCTATATAATATAGGATAAACATAATAAAATCTATAGTCTTAAAGAAGCTTAAAATCTATAGTCTTAAAAACGACAAGGAGGATCCTAGGGAAGACGCTTAATCCTCATTCAGAAGCACAAACAGGATAGATATTGGAAGTAGGAAATGATAGGGAACAGGACAGGAGTCTTTCACAGGAGGTCTCTGAAAAAAAATTTACTCAACAAGGTATTGAAGCAGATGCTGAGACTCAGAGCCATACCTTGGGCAGAGTATAGAAAATCTTATGGAAGAAGGGGAGATAAAAGATGTGGAGGAGATAGGAACTCCACAAGGAGACCAACAGAGCCAAAAAATCTGGGCTCATGGGGTCCTGTAGAGACTGATCCTCCAACCAATGGCAATGCATGGAAAGGAAATAGACGCCCTGCTCAGATGTAGCCCATAGACAGCTCAGTCTTCATGTGGGTTCCCTAATAGGGAGAAGAGACAGTCTCTGACATGAACTTAAATATAATTTAAAATATTAATTTCTCATTAGATCATTACGATTACTTTTATTTTACTGAATAGTATGTTTGATCAGAAATATCTTAAAAATTGTAATATAAAACATCATATTAAGGTCAAGTCTTCTTATTAAGATTATGTAATTTGTGTATACACATTAATTCTGTTTCTAAATTACTGAAGACATTTCATTTCTTTTCCAAATTTATTAAACAAATAATGAAAAATTAAGTAAATAAAAAAATCATAGCAACAATCAATAAATGGGACTTCATGAAACTGAAAACCTTCTGTAATGCAAAGGACACCGTCCTCAGAACAAAACGACAGCCTACAGATTGGGAAAGGATCTTCACCAACCCTCTATCTGACAGAGGATTAATATCCAGTATACATAAAGAACTCAATAAGTTAAACAGCAAAAAATCAAGTAATCCAATTAAAAAAAGGAGTACAGAGCTAAACCAAGAATTCTCAATAGAGTAATATCGAATGGCAGAAAAACACTTAAAGAAATGATCAACCTCATTAGCCATCAGGGAAATGCAAATCAAAACAACCCTAATATTTCACCTTACCACCCATCAGAATGGCTACGATAAAAAACTCAAGAGACAACACATGCTGAAGAGGTTGTGGAGAAAGAGGAACCTTCCTCTACTGCTGGTGGGAATGAAGACTTGTACAACCACTCTGGAAAGCAATCTGGCGCTTTCTCAGACAACTAAGAATAGCATTTCCTCAAGATCCAGCTATACCACTCCTAGGCATATGCGCAAAAGAGTCTCAAGTACACAATAAGGACATTTGCTCAACCATGTTTGTAGCAGCCTTATTTGTAATAGCCAGAAGCTGGAAACAGCCCAGATGCCCCTCAGTGGAGGAATGGATGCACAAATTATGTTATATCTACACAATAGAATATTACTCAGCAATAAAAACAAGGAAATCGTACCTAAACCTCACAAAGACTCAACAAAGAAAGAGAATTTCAGGCCAATCTCCCTTATAAACATTGATGCAAAAATACTTAACAAAGTACTTGCAAATCGAATCCAAGAACACATAAAAGATATTATCCACTATGACCAAGTAGGCTTCATCCCAGGTATACAGGGTGGTTCAATATATGAAAATCCATCAATGTGATCCACCATATTAACAAACTGAAAGAAAAAACCACATGATAATCTCCCTAGATGTTGAAAAAACATTTGACAAAATCCAACATCCATTCATGTTTAAAGTATTGGAGAGATCAGGGATACAAGGCACATATCTATACATAGTAAAGGCGATATACAGCAAGCCTATAGCCAACATCAAACTGAGCAGAGAGAAACTTAAAGCAATCCCACTAAAATCAGAGACAAGACAAGGCTACCCACTCTCTCCATATATCTTCAACATAGTGCTGGAAGTCCTTGCTACAGCAATAAGACAGTTGAAGGAGATCAATGGGATACAGATTGGAAAAGAAGTCAAATTATCACTATTTGCAGACGATATGATAGTATACCTGAGTGACCCCAAAAACTCTACCAGGGAACTCCTACAGCTGATAAACACCTTCAGTATAGTGGCCAGATACAAAATTAACTCAAAAAAATCAGTAGCTCTCCTGTATACAAAAGACAAAAGGGCTGAGAAAGAAAATAGGGAAACAACACCTTTCACAATAGCCACAAATGACATAAAGTGCCTTGGTGTAACCCTAACCAAGCAAGTCAAAGACTTATATGAAAACAATTTCAAGTCTCTGAAGAAAGAATTAGAAGAAGATATGAGAAAATGGAAAGATCTCCCATGCTCATGGCTTGGCAGGATTAACATAGTAAAAATGGCCATCTTACCAAAAGCAATCTACAGATTTAATGCAACCCCATCAAATTGCCAATACAATTCTTTACAGACCTGGAAAGAAAAATTCTCAACTTCATATGGAATAACAAGAAACCCAGAATTGCTAAAACAATCCTCTACAATAAAAGATCTTCTGGAGGTATCTCCATCCCTGATCTCAAGCTGTACTGTAGAGCAACAGTTATAAAAACTGCATTGTATTGGCATAGAAACAGAACGGTGGATCAATGGAATCGAACAGAAGACCCAGAAATAAACCCACACACTTATGGACAGCTGATTTTTGACAAAGGTGCCAAAACCATACAATGGAAAAAAAGATAGCATCTTCAACAAATGGTGCTGGTCTAACTAGATGTCTACATGTAGAAAAATGAAAATAGATCCATACTTATCACCCTGCACAAAACTGATGTCCAAGTGGATTAAAGAACTCAACATAAAAGCAGACACAATAAATCAGCTAGAAAAAAAAGTGGGGAATACCCTAGAACTCATTGGTACAGGAGAGAACTTCCTGAACAGAACACCAACAGCACAGGCTCTGAGAGCCTGTAAGCTTCTTGTATGTTTATGGATATCTTTTCCTTTAAGTTGGGAAAATTTTCTTCTGTGATTTTCTTAAAAATATTTCCAGTTCTTGGAGCCTGGAATCTTCTTTTTCATCTATTCCTATTATTCTTAGGCTTTGTCTTTTCATGGTGTACTTGATTTCTTGGATGTTTTGTGTTTGGGACTTTTCTGATTTTACTTTTTCTTTGAGGAAGGTATCAATTTTAGCAAGTGTATCTTCAGTACCTGAGATTCTCTCTTCCATCTCTTGTATTCTTTTGGTGATGCTTAACTTTGTGGTTCCTGATCTTTTCTCTATTCTCCAGTTCCAGGATTTTCACTGTTTGTGTTTTCTTTATAGATTCTAATTCTGTTGTCATGCTTTGCACCATTTCCTTCATCTGTTTGAATGTGGATTCTTTTCTGTATTTCTTTGAGTGCTCTGTTTCCTCTTTTTTTTCCTCTAATAACTGCATAAACATAGCTTTAGAGTAATTTCCCTGTGTTTCTACTGAACTAAAATATCCATTGATTTTGGTTTTTGCTCTTGGGGCCATAATGTCCTGATATTTGTTGGGTGAGTTCTTTTGCCGACCTCTGGCTATTTGCTTAGATGTAACCTTCACTGTTTGTTCCTGGAGTCTGAAGTTCAGACTGGAACCATCTTTCTCTGGTGTTTGGAGTATTCTTCAGGAAGATGAGAGAGTTCCAGCGAATTAAGAGTGTGAGTTGTTGCTTTAGCTGACCCTGAGGGAAGAAAAGCTGCTGGTGCAGAATTGTTGTTGTGGGGGAATAAGTGTATGTGTGTGTGTGTGTGTGTGTGTGTGTGTGTGTGTGTGTGTATGCATGGAAGTGTGTATGCATGAGAGTGCTAGAGAGTGTAGGTGCTTGGGATATGGTGGTTGGGAGCAAGCACAGGAGGGGATGTGAATGCTAGTGCTGCTCACAAGTGCAGATTGCAGACAAGTGCAGATTGCAGACAAGTGCAGATTGCAGACAAGTGCAGATTGCAGACAAGTGCAGATTGCAGGCAAGTGCAGATTGCAGACAAGTGCAGATTGCAGACAAGTGCAGACTGCAGACAAGTGCAGATTGCAGGCAAGTGCAGATTGCAGGCAAGTGCAGACTGCAGACAAGTGCAGATTGCAGACAAGTGCAGATTGCAGACAAGTGCAGATTGCAGACAAGTGCAGATTGCAGACAAGTGCAGATTGCAGGCACAAAGTTCCTGAGCAGGTTTCCTGAATACCCAGTGGTCTACAGTCTGTGGTGGGCTCTGCGGGCTGGACTCTGAGGTCTGTGGCTGATGCTGCAGGCTGGACATGTACACTGATGTGGACTCTGTGCACCTGGCCCTGTGCTCTGTGCTAGAAGCTGTGAGCACAGCAGGCTGGGCTCTGCTCTCTGAGTTGGAATGCGCTATGTGCTTCTTCTGCAGGCTCCCTCTCAGGCAAGGCGGGAGTTTGGAGGTGTTGAGGGAAATGCAGGCGTTTGAGTGTTCTCAGTCTCAAATGTCAATAAGGAAGATCTGTGCTTGGAGCAGGCAGCACTGGGCTCTTTGCAAGTTGCTGTATGCACTGCGAGCTGCCTCCTTTGCCTCCACTGCTGGCTGCAGTACCTCTGCCTCTGCCTCTGCTTCGGGCCAAGGTACCTCTGCTGCTTCAGTGCATTATGGGGAAGTGCTCGGGAATCGATTCTCCAGGAGAAGACCACAGAGATGACTGTGGTTGACCTGTGCCCTATTGGACTCAGATCAGGGTTTGTCCCCCTTCTCTCTGGACACCTTGGTGCCATTATTTTGGGTCTACTGCCCCTCCACTCACCAATTTGGAGTTTCAGCTCCTCTGCCCCTCAAATAATGTGTGTGATAGTCACCACCATCTTGGATCCCCTCTAAAGTTTGTTTTTTTAGAATAGTAATTTGGAGTTCTACATCTGCCCAAAAATAACAAAGATCAACTTAGTCCTGCAACTTGTTAGCATATGTATTGGAGCAGAAAATATAAATCATTGGTTTGAGGACATCGGAGGTCAGAGACTCTACCAGGAAAAGAAACAAATGTTATGAGACTCATGACTCACCTGACCTTATTTCTGTGACAGGGTTCCAGGACAGACAGAAACAGAGTCTGTGAAACATCCTGAGCTGAGGTGATGAAGAAGGAGTCCAGAGAAATGTTTGGGTGGAGCTCGTCGGCTAAAGTATGGAGAGCAGCACACTGTGCAGTAGGGAAAATTGCAGATTCCTGAGGGTACCCCACGCAATGTTCAGCTATAGAATACTAGGGAGCACGTGTGGGTAAAGTAAATAAGAGTGCAAAGGGAGTGATCAGTACTTTAGAGCCCTGATATAGGCTTGACAGCTCTTTATATTAACAATGAGCACTTTAAAAAAATGACACAATTCGCAAGACAATGTGTACAACAATCAAAAGGTTCTACTTTGGTAGTAGGGAAAATTATAGCCTTTTAGCTGAGGATTACTCATAATATGGCAAATTATAAAAGTTAGATGCAAAGGGATAAAACTCTCTTTCAAGGAACTTTCAAGAGTATTTGGGGGAATATTATATGATATCCATCACCCAACAAAATCAAATTTACAGTGTCTACAATCCAGTCACTGGATACCAGGCATTCATAGAAAACTATCAAAGAAGAATGAACAATCAAAATAGTCCAGCATTAAGGTGACATTATAGTTCAAAGACAAAAACTTTTATATATTTATTAATATTATATGTAGTATAGTGTTTTAAAAATGTTAAATAGATATATTTAGATATTTGTAAAATAGGAGCAGAATTAATCTAGTATAGAAGTATAATGAATGTGATTAATGACAGATCAAATAGACACCACAGAATAAAAGACTGGCAGTTCTGGATCATCAAACCATTTAAAATGAAACTTAAGTAAGAAACTGAAATAAGAAAAAAAATCTAAGAATTATAGAAAATTTTCATATAATAACAGGAATGTACTTATAGTGTTTAAGGAAGAATAGGAAATGGTACACATTAGGTACAATCACTGCTTGAAAATTCTTCATAATTCAATGCATTAGAATTTCGAGGTGTCCTTGAGTGGAAAGGAGAAGAGAGAAGAGGGAGGGAAAATGAATAGGATTCAAAGATAAATTTATTAAAACAATTATTAATAAATTTAAATTTATTATAACTTTATTAATAAATTTATTAAATAAAGAAAAATACTAATATATTATCATACACACACCTCTCTAACACTACCAGTACCAACAACAATAAAGTACTTGGCAAATTAAAAATATTTATCAATGAAGTAGAGCTAGTGGGAGAGAATACTGAACACAGCATATATTAGTCAAGCCATGACAGAAAAGAGGCCAGTACACTCACATCTTTATCTACAACTTGAGCGAAGCTTAAAGGGTAATAACAATACCTAGGACTAAATGATCAACCATAAATCTAGAGTGGATTAGAAGAGGACGCATCTGATTACTACTAAAATTGACTGTGAGGTTACAAAGATGAGAATAACAATAGTGTGGACTAGAGCAGGTGAATACTGAATTATGCAAATCTCCTTTGACATTTTACCCTGAATTAATGCACACAAACCTTCTGTCTGCCACACAGTTTTTTTTTTTTTTGATGTTATATTAACTTTAATTTTTTTTTTAATTCAATTAACCTTGAGCACAATGCTGGGCAATAGTTACTCCATCCTAAAACTCCAATCCCGCATAGTTTCCTACAATTCAGATTTTACCCATTATAATTGCTTTTAGTCATATCTTAGTTCTGCTTAACCTCTGCACGTGGTTCCAAGACCTCTCCTGCAGATTCTCCTCCTCTCCTTTCTTGCTTCCTTCTTCTTCCTTTCACTCCAGACCAGAATGCTTCGCCTTATCCTCTCCATTGCTCAGCTTTGTGGCCATTTGTTTTAACTGACAATATAGAGAACAAATGGTGGCATGTTTACAAAAACTTGAGACAGTTGATGCTTAGAATAAGCATCACAATGCAATGTCCAGATTGAAACCAGATAGTGGGGGAGAGAAATCAGCATTTGAATGAACAAGGGTAAATTGTATACATTCCAAAAGAACATTATACCAACATTTTCCCCTTTAAGTCCAATAAAAGGCTCCTAGTTAATCGACTCATAGCCATGTCAGACACACTAGTCTAATTTATCACAGGAATATGCATCCTAGGTTTAACAGATAGATACTATTACATAAAGATAGGTAAGCCTTCAAAAACATCAGAGACTTACAGAATATGGCATTTAAACATGCCTTTTTTATTTTAAAGATTCTTTCCCAATGAGACAGGTCATCTCTTGGCAGTACCCCGCATTCCTCAAAAAGATGTGAATATTGAAGAGCATCCATATGGAGACACCTTCTAATGTAGCAAATGAGCCATTCAGGTAGAGAAAATACCCTTGCTTCACGATAGACAAATTCTGCCAAAACGGGCAAGCTTATACGCAGGACAAGCCGACTGCCAAACTCTGCCAAGACAGGGTAAGCAAGTCCTAAATAGTTCCTGCTTCATATTTATGTCTGTTAAATATTCTGAGCTAGAATTCTGAAGCTCATGCTCCAATGTTATAGAGAGTTATGGGTGACTATTCAGTCAACAAACTGTCTCTGTCAATTTTTTTTTTTTTTTTTTTTGGAAGCTGCTAACATGTAATAGGAAGTACATGCTAACATGTACTTCCTATTAACTCTAGCAACTAAATTTATTTTTTCTCAAGTCTCTGGTGAGGTTGAAGACCAAATAGTTATGGTTCCACAATTAAGCTTAAGTTTTTTAAAATTTAAGAAAATGCTTTCACATAGTTAACTTTTTTTAACTTTATTTATTATTTTTTAATATCAATGAGGCAGGAACAACAGCTGTTGAAAGACACTAGATTGTAGAAAAAAAAACAACAAACCACTGAATTAGATAAACATTTATAATTTAAAATTGATTTCACATCAGAATGGAAATCAGGGAGTACATTACATTGGGGAAGAGGGTTTTTTTTTTTTTTCTTTATTTCCACAGTAGATGAAAGACGATGAGTTCCATCAAAATAGATAAAGATTCAGTCTGAATAAAAGAAGCTTCCACATGAAAGGCACAACTTAGGGAATAAAGAGATAAAAAAAAGACAGCAACACAGATGGTGCAGAAAACTGCTTTGACAATTTACCTTGACTTTATGCACACAAACCTTCTGTCTGCCACACAGTTCTTAAGAATATAGATGGACCTTGTGAAGCTCCTGTCCTCTCCAGGCCTTACTAACTCCCTCTTATTTCATTTGATTCCCTGAACTCCAAGGTTTGGTTATGAGTCTCAGCATCTGCTTTGATACACTGCTAGGTAGAATCTTTCAGAGGCCCTCAATAGCAGGCTCCTGACCTGTTTCTTGTTTTCTCCTACTTCCAATGTCCATCCCATTTGTCTTTCTAAGTAAGGATTGATCATCTTACCCAGGTCCTCCTTCTTGTTTAGCTTCTTTAGGTATACAGATTTTAGTATGTTTATCCTATCTTTTATATCCACTTATAAGTGAGTATATACCATGTGTGCTGTTCTGCTTCTGGGATACCTCACTCTAGATGATCTTTTCTAGATCCCCCCATTTGTCTGCAAATTTCATGATTACTTTGTTTTTAATTGCCTAGAACCCCTACTCAGATGTAGCCCATGGCAGCTCAGTATCTAAGTGGGTTCCCTAGTAAGGGGAACAAGGACTGTATCTGACATGAACTCAGTGGCTGGCTCTTTGACCTCCCCCTCTCCCCTGAGGAAGGAGCAGTCTTGCTAGGCCACAGAGGAGGACATTGCAGGTCCTGATGAGACCTGATAAGCTAGGGTTAGATGGAAGGGGATGAGGACCTCCTCTAGCAATGGACTTAGAGAGGGGCAGGGAGAAGATGAAGGAGGGAGGATGGGATTGGGAGGGAATGAAGAAGGGGGCTACAGCTGAGATACAAAGTAAATAAACTGTAATTAATATAAAAAATAAAAAAAGAGTATAGATGGAGAAAAAGTGGCAGGAATATTTGATATTGGAAAACTGAACATACAGCAGTGATTCTCAGCCTGTGGGTTGTGACTCCCTTGAGGGCCTAATGACCCTTTCATAGGTGTTACCTAAGACCATCAGAAAACATGGATACAGTAGCAAAATTATAGTTATGACATAGCAATAAAAATAATTTTATGGCTAGGGTCACCAAAACATGAGGAACTGTATTAAAGGATTGTAGCATTAGGAAAGTTGAGAACCACTGCGTTACAGGAAATAGGCCCAAGGCATTTCAAAAAATGCAAAAGAAAGAAGTAAACCAGGCTGTTTTATGAAAAACACATTCCCTTCCCTCTGGCTATTAGTGTTCACCCCAGTGAAAACTTTACCTTGAAAGAGGAAAGTGTACATATTGGGGGTGACAGAATTAAGATAGGATTGTTTAGATTTTTTGAAGTCTCTCCTCCATCAGTGGCCACTTTAGTTGACATTCCTAAGAGAGGTTGATGGTTTACAAAATTGATCTGCATGGCAGAAGGTCCTCTGTGGAAGAAAACTTTGAGAAAGGGCAGCAGAACACTAACATGTCTTTATCAGCATGAATTCTCAACAGAGACTATTGGTGGGAAGATTATGTCTCTGATAATAGAAAATGCCAATTAAAAAAAATGGTTGAAACTGGTCTTCTCAAATAGTTTAGTTTTGCAAGAATCATTGATGTTTATGTAAACTAGCTTTCTGCAGTGAGTTAAGTAGGAATTTATTGTAGGTTTACTGTGAGAAACGGTTTCCCTGATCCATTATTTTACTATCAATAAAATGTATAAAATATATATTCTTATTTTTATTGAAATTTTCTTTTTAAAATTTATATTTTTTACTTTACATCCTGGTTGCAGCCCCTCTCCCATTTTTCCCTCTCACACAAGCCCCCCCACCCTCCCCTCTCCTTTTCCTCAGAGAAGGAGGAGATCCCCCATGGGTACCAACCACCCTTGGCACACTAAGTTGTTAGAGGACTAGGCACATCCTCTGCCACTAAGGCCAGATGAGGCAGCTCAGTTATGAGAATGGCATCCAAAGGGAGGCATCAGAGTCAGAGAAGGCCCCCATTCAAATTGTTGGAGACCAAACTGCATATCTGCTACATATGTGCAGACATCCTAGGAATGTCTTTGCATGTCCATGCATATTCTTTGGTTGGTGGTTCAATTTCTGTGAGCCCCCATGGGCCTAGGTTAATTGACTCCATGGGTCTTCTTACTTGAACCCTCAATTGTTCCCCTGATTTTGTCTAATTTGGCTGTGGGTCTCTGCATCTGTTTCCATCAGCTTCTGGCTGACGCCTCTCAATGGAGTTACTCCAGGTTCCTGTCTATTAGTATAGAAGAGTAACATTAATAATGTCAGGGGTTGGTTTTCTCCCTTGGATAGGTCTCAAATAGAGCCAGTCTTTGCTTGGCCTTTCTCTCAATCTTTGCTCCATCTTTGTCCCTGCACATCTTGTAGGCAGGACACATTTTGGGCTGAAAGTCTCTTGGGTTGTTAGATATACTTATCCTTCCACTGAAAGTCCTGCCTGGCTACAGGAGGTGACCAATTTTGCTCTATATCCCCCTCTGCTAGTACTCTCAGCTTGGGTTGAACCACAATTTCAAACACGAGTCACTATTGTCATAATTCATAAATGACTATTTAAATCATTTCCACATCTTCCCTTCTTCACTCCAACCCCTCCCATGAACCCTCACCCTCTCTCAAATTCATTATCTCTTTTGTTAGAATTGTTATATACACATATATGTATGTATTTTGATTTTGATTGCCAAAATATATTCATTTAGGATTGTAGCTTTGCAAAAGTAATTTCTCCATCAGTATTGGCATGTCAACTAGTAGAATCTTGTGCTAGTCTTGTTCAGGTGACCATACTGCTGAGAATTCCTAGGTGCAACAGATCTGTGATATGAGGAAGTAGCAACCTGTAACCCTAACTGAGTTAAAATGACAGGTCCAAATTAATGTTATTGACATAGACCATTATAAATGTGTGGTTAAAGCCAGCTTCTTTCCAATGTAGGGGTCTTTGTGTTACCTTCCTGAAAAGTCAGTTATTCTTCATGTGACTGATTGATAGAAAAATACTTTTGTTATACAAAGGATACTAAGGAGGTGGCAGGGGTGGTAGGGGAAAGGATTCCTACTTGGCAAAGTTGGAAATCTATTAAAAACACAGGAATATAGATTTCAAGTCTAAGACATATTTTCAAATTTAGGGTTATAAGATTGAGGTTTCTATCTATTCTAGCCATGGTGCCCACACTTCTGAAATTGGTTCATTGTCCCTACAGTGACCCATTTACTCTAAATGTCTACTCTGATAAGACTTTTGGAGTGTTTTTATTAGAGTAGCATGACTTAAAATGGAAAATACTGGAACATATTGCACAATTCACCCCCTCAGAAAAATAAATGGATTGTAAAAATACTGGAGTGAAATAAAAGATCAGCAGGGAAACCAAGGCTTTTCACAACAGTGTGGCCAGCAGGGCTGAGGTAGTCGGCAAGGGGTTTAGGATTAGTAGTCATCAGTGAATGATTCCCAGTGGAAGAGGAATGTCATTCTGCTGAATAACCTGTGAAAGGTAGAGGACATGTGAAGGATAGAGAACTCATGGCTTGTCACCCATCCTTTATGCTAAAATGTGTAACTGGAAATATATGCCAAAGCTCTGTTGCCAACACTTGATGTTTCAGTGGAGTTTGTGTAAGTGGAGAGGATGTTGGCTCATTTCAGTCAGCCATGCTGAGTAGAATTACTGCATTGCTCAAGTACTGTTCTGTAGAATAATTAAGCACAAAGAACTCTGCAAGTACAAGAAGGATTTGTTTTATTAAGAATATGACTGAATTGAGAACATTAAATCCCACACTCATCAGTTATGACAATAGCAAAGTATTTCTCTTTCTTATGTAACCCATAATCAGTGTAACAAAGCCATGGAATAGTCAGTCTTACATTACATGGATTTTTGTGAAACAGCTTTCAGTATATATTTATGGATTTTCAACACAATATTTAATTTTACCTTCTTTCATCACAATCTAGTGTAGTGTTTTCTGATTTCAGTAACAGTGGGAGTAAGTTGGCTTCATAGATTGGTGATCTTATGAGAATTGTTTCTATAAAAAAAGACACACATGGTATATACTCACTCATATAAACATACAATATAGAATAAACCCACTAAAATCTGTACATCTAAACAAACTAAGCAAAAGAGAGGACCCTAACTAAAATGTTCAATCCCCATCCTGAAAGGCAAAGAGGATGGACATCAGAAGAAAAAGAAAATAGGAAACAACCTCGGAACCTACTACAGAGGGCCTCTGAAAGCCAGAAGAAAACAGGAAACAACCTTGAAACCTGCCACAGAGGGCCTCTGAAAGCTTCTGCAGTATAGACTGTCAAAGCAGATGCTGAGCCTGATGGCCAACTGATGGGCAGAGTGAATGGAATTTTATGTAAGAAGTGGGAAATAGTAAGAGCTGGAGGGGACAGGAACTCCACAAGGAGAGCAACAGAACAAGATAATTTGAACACAGGGAACTTCCCAGAAAATCATACTCCAACCAAGGACTATTTGTGGAGATGACCTGGAACCCCTGCACAGGTGTAGCCCATGGCAGTTCAGTGTCCAAGTGGGTTACATAGTAATGGGAAGAGGGACTGCCTCTGACATAATCTGATTGGCCTGCTCTTTGATCACTTCCCCCTGAGGGGGGAGCAGCCTTACCAGGCCACAGTAGAGGACAATGCAGCCACTTTTGATGAGAACTGATAGACTAAGATCAGAAAGAAGAGGAGGACCTCCCCTATCAGTGGACTTGGGGAGTTGCATGCATGCAGAAAGGGGAGGGAGGGTGGGATCGGCAGGGGAGGAGGGAGGGGCTTATGGGGGATACAAAATGAATAAAGTGTAATTAATAAAAAATTTTAAAAAAAGTAAGCAAGAAATTTGTCACCATGTGATATGTACAGAACTTTCAAATGCAAATGGCAGTACTATGAAGCTGGCCCTGTGTGCTATGTTGTGATTGATTTTATCAACCAGAGAACACAGAGTTATTATGCAAGTTGTCAGAAACAAGACATTATATTTTAATGACAGTAATACTCAACAGGGATTCTAAAGACAGGAAGATCCTGTAGATTTTACGAAGCTGCACTTCCACCCTGAGAATCCTGTAGGTTTTGTGAAGCTGCATTTCCACCCTGTTAGATCTGATTTGCAAAGTTACCTGAAAGTGATACTGAATTTGGTGTGGACTCTGAGAAAAAACAGGCACTAGTAGACCCTTGACCCCCATAACCTGATTGTCAGATGAAGTCAGTCACATTTGTAACTAGATGTACTGCTTAAGCCTTTGACAAAAGGGAAAATTGCACTCAGCAAAGTTCACTGGGGATTTGGTTTCAAAGGCTTCTTGATACAGGGGCACTTTCTGGACTCTTTGAGACATGCCTGTCAGCTTATTACTGGGGTTAGAAGTGAAAGTGACCCCAAGAATGAATGACAGTATGTTCAAAGAAGGGCATACCAGGAACAGCTCTGAGCTCACTACTATTCCAAAGGACAAAAAGAAATTCAAAAGTAAATAGCATCAATAGGCTGTCTATCTCACTTCTAAGAATAATGACAGAACTCTGTGTTCTATCTCTACTCCCAAACCCTAACCTGCTCCCCATTATCCCTTGTAGTTAACTTGGTTCTACAGCTGCAGTTTCTAAGTTGGGGCTACATTTTAATCAGAAATTGATACGAAATATCCTAAAGACCTCAAATGCCTGATGAAGAAGGAAAGAGTAAGTAACAGAATACAACAGAAAGCTTCTTATTTAGGTGTGGACCTGAGTATAGTATCAGGATATTTATATACCATTGCGCACAAGTTAAAACCGTATCAGTATGGTCCTGATAACTTAGTCAATAGCCATAGCACTCCTCTTCATATGGTAGAGCTGTTTGCCAGCAAAATTAGCTGTTCTGACTTGAATATGAACTGGCTCACACAGGATGGTCTGAAGACTTGGTCTCTAGTTGGTTGGTGCTACATTTCAAGATGTTGGACACCTGTGAGATAGGGTCTAGTTATAGATGTAGATAATCCCTGACACAGTGCCCTTAAAGGTCTTGTCCTGTTTCTGGCCTTTTAATTAGTTTTTCTCTGCTTCTTGGATGCCACGTGCTGAACGACTGTATTCTACACTCTTGCACTGTGATCCACCTCACCCAGGCCAAAGATAAAAATGCTAGCTCAGCATAGGCTGAAACTCCTTAAACTAGCATCTGAAATAAAGTTTCTTTAAACTGAATTTCTGAATATTTTTTTTCAGGGCAGTGAAAACTCTTTCACGTACACCCCCAAGGCTGTTTGCATTAACCTGATTTAGCTCTTGTAGCTGGAAAAGCTTTGTTCCCAACAGACATTTATTTAAATCAAATATATTGTGAAATGAGTTGTTTACTTCATCACTCCCCAGAGCAGTGGAAAAAAAATGGGCAAATGAATTATTAACCACCCTTTAAAAGAAACAAATGTCCACTGATACTTAGAAAACATCTAACATATTTCTGGGAATCTAGAAAGCCACGTTGAGTGCAAATATCCCGAGCAGCACACATAATCAGCAAGGATTTGAAAGGGTCCTAAATTATTATCGCTGTGTAATCTTATCATCATAGGCATCAGGAAGGGAAGATTACGTCTGAGATTTAATCTACCTGGTTGTGTGCTAACGGCATATCCCCATTTGTATGTAGAACCCTTCAACAATGGCTCTGGAAATCTGAAGATGTCTGCATCCAGTCAACTGACCACTACATCACAGATTTTAGAGACCACACACAAAGGCTATATAGGTTTTACAAATACATTAAAAAAACACATTTGTGAACCCAAAATGAGAAGCATAACACACAGCAGCAATAATAGTTCTTGATTGGGGTAAATCTGCTTTCATGGAGAAGAAGGCTTTTTATACATTGATGGATGATACTTAGTTGAAAGTATATTCATGTATGGCCATAAAAAATATTTGGCTTGCCCACAGAAAAGGGGGAGGGAGGATTGTAGGACCCAGAGGGGTCAAAGACACCACAAAAACATGGCCCACAGAATTAACTAAGCAGGACTCATAAGGGCTCACAGAGACTGCAGCAACAAACATACACACTGTATGGGTCTGAAATAGGTCCTCTCGCATATACCTTATGGTTGTGTAGTTTAGTGTTCTTGTAGGGCTCCTATAAATTTGGGCACAGAAAGTCTAGTTATCTCTTAATTTTTTTACTGTTCCTGGACCTTTTTCAGCCTTGATATGAGGGTTTATACTCAGTCTTATTGTACCTTGATAGGCAATGTTTGGGATAGGCCTGCTCTTTCTTTCTTTCTTTTTTTTTTTAATGGAGGAGGAGTTACTCTGGAGAGGTCAGAGGGAGGGCTAGGGGGAGTAGAGGGAGAGGAAATTGTGGTAAGGATGTAATATATGAGGAAAGAATAAAAGTTAAAAAATTTGGTAGTTTTGTTGGTAGTTTTTTGGTAATACAAAAATTACCACACAAACCACTCGAACACCAGTTTCAGTGAGATGTGGATGGTTTATTGAATGCAACATTTCAAGACTGATCATCATCAGGGACATGTTCGTCTCAGGAGCCAAACTGTGATGCAGTCTGTTTCTAAGGCAGGCTTTTTATATGAAAAACTGTAACCAGGTAATAACCAGGTAGCCAAGCTATAGAAATCAAAGGCAGGGTTGAAGGGTGTGGGTGGCATTACATCATTTGACCAGTTAAACAAAGCATTTCTAAGTACATTTTACCCAGGTAAAAAGCTGATTGCCTAAGATATAGGCTTGAGGACTTTCCAGTTCCCCACCATTCTGGGAGAAAGGACCTAGCAAGGCATTGTTTTTTGTTTGTTTGTTTGTTTTGTTTTAAGTAGAGCATATATCATTAACTCAAGTAGAACATTCAGCAAGTATTAAATTGTAAGTAAAAGGCTATTAAAGTTCTTAGGCAGGTAGAGCCTGAGAACCTGAACTTAATTTCACCTTATGATCAGCTTATGGCATCTGTTATGATACAGACAAAAGCAGGTATTAACAGAGGACATTACCAGAGGAGCTACTGTTATGCTAAGAACTAAAATAGGTCTCAACAAAGGGGCTATAGAGGTTAAGCAGGTTAAATGGGTTACAACAGCTTCTTGTTTTATTTTGTCTGGTTTTGGTATAAGGGTAACATTGACTTCAAAGAATGTGCTGAGAAATCTCTTTAATAGTTTGGGAGAATTTTTGATACATTTCATTTCTAAGTATCTGTCTAGAAAGTATAAAATATATTCAAGGCAAAAACTCACATAAGTACTATTTATAGCAGTAGGACAAAGAGCTTTACAATGACCATCAGACGATAAGTACATGCCTTGTTTTTATTTGTGTGTGTCTGTGTGTGTGTGTGTGTGTTTGTGTATTTTTGTGTACTTGACACAAGCTGGAGTTGTGTGAGAAGAGGAATCTAAATTTGAGAAAATTTCTCCACAAGATTAGGCTATAGGCAAGCCTGGAGGACATTATCTCAATTAGTGGTTGATGTGGGGTGGAAAGGTCCAGACCACTGTGGGCAGTGCCAACCATGGGCAGAAGGTTTTTGATAATATGAGAAAGAAGGCTGAACTAGCACTCAGGAACAAGTCAGTAAAGCTTACTCCTCTATGACCTCAGCTTCTGTTCCTGACTCCAGGTTCCTACCCTGAATACCTTTCATTATGGTAAGTTCCAAGGTGAAACTTTCCTTTCCAGTTTGCTTTTAGTTATGATGCCTTATCACTGCAATAGAAACTGTAAGTAAGATAGCACATAAATAAAATATATTATAATAAAAATATGTCTTCATTAATAAGGAAATAAGAATCTTAATGTATTAGTAGATACTGGAAGCATGGTGGAAGAGAAAACAGTCAAGTAAAATTATTTTGTTGTAAGTCAGAATAATTCTTCATTTTCGGTTAGGACATGAGTGATGTCACCTAATTTATGTGGAAACTCCAGGATAAGCACATCTACATGGAGAGAAAAAGGATTGGTGTTCAGTGACTGTAGGAGGAAGTTCTGGGGTGCAGGTTGCATATGCTGGGATGACTAAAAACACTGAGCATTTATTAAAACTTATTAATTACTCTTAAAATGCTGAGTTTTATGCATATGAATAATATCCAAGTCAAATATAAAACATTTTATCTCACTGAGATGTTTAATGAAATGCCTCAAGCTTACTGGAGCACCAAAAGAGGTGTGCTTTATGGTTCCTTGTGTGATTTTTATTTTTCTCCTGGAGGCATTTCTTAATTTGATAAAATTTTGTACATAAAGCATAATGAAAAGAAGTCACCTAATTTTTCAGTACCGGAAATACTTTCTAAATTTTCTTTAACTACTTGCAGAGTCTTAATTATTTATGCAGTTCTCTGCTTCTATTTAATATTTTATCACAGTGATATAGAACACATTGCCCTACATTTTACCATGATATATCTATTGCCTTAACCATCAAATTATAAGTATATAAACAAAGTATC